GTTTACGGCAGAAAATAAATGTAACGCAAATGTGCAATAAAAATTTATACAATATATTTACAGTGCTTAAATTATGAAAATGTGCTCAAGTGAAGGCAAGCGGAGAGAAGCTTTCTCTGCCGCCGCGGCGCGCTAACTAACTTACTATGCTCGCAGAGCAATATTTATAGAGACAAAAGTTAAAGTAGAAACTTCTAGTACATTGATAAATAAAGGTACAAAAGTAAAGGTAAAACGGTCTCTTGGGCATTGCAAATGTACGCGATGATAAAGGCGTATGATCGGAAAATTACTTCAACTTTAATATAAGAATAACGAACGTGACGCAATTTAAATTTAGAAAAGGTTTGTCGGAAAATATTCAGGTACAAAACTGAACATACCGCCCGCCATACTACGGTTCGGGGTAAACGGAGTATTAACAATTAGCACTGCACTTATGTAAAATGAACTTAGAGTCTGTATTTTGAAAATGTCAATAATGTAATGGACCGGAAAGCGTCCAGCCGAATATGGTGCGCGGGGCCATGGGTGTCCCAGGTAGTCCGATGCGTAAGCCTTCTTGAAGAACTCATGGAAGCACATCAGCTCCTAGCAGCAACTCGATTTCCGTCAGATCGGCTCGAAAGTCCTCTGCAAGCTCCAAACCCTGTAGATACTTCCAGTCGCCTGGAAGCTTAAAGTTTCCTGACCTGTAGCTGGATATGAGCGAGAGCACTAGAGCTTCGCACGTGAACTTCCCCTCGCTAACCATGGAGGCGAGAGTAAGGTAAGTTTTTCCATGAACTCGTGGAGTCTTGATGCCACCGATGCCAATGACCTCCATGCTGGCCTCCTCATATTCCTGGCGAAGTTTACTTAGCAGGCTCTTTGCAACAAAGGATCGCTGAGAGCAGTTGTCGAGCATGGCACGAGCGATGAGTGTGCGTCCGTCCGGGCCTTGAATTCGGACGAGCGCAGTAGGCAACAGCGTAGTATTTGGAGAGTCTGGCGACGCCATCCAATGACAGGATACGCGACTCCCTTTCGTGAGTGTAGCAGGCCATGCAGAAGATGCAAGATGCACTGTAGTGGCAGGATTCTCGTGCAGCAGCGTATGGTGATGCCCGTTGCAAGTTAGGCATCGTTTGCTTGATTTGCAGCTTGCGAGTTTGTGAGCACCAAGGCAATTATAGCACATGCTCTTGGCCTCAACAAACTGTTTGCGTTCGTGTGGCGATTTTGCTTTGAAATCGGCACAACGTAGTATGAAAT